GGGGTCACTCAGTGCATACCAATCTTCAGCTGCACAAAATGTAATGTACACTGTCTATATGTGGGTCTATCAATAGGCTTCAATGTCACCAAGATGAATTCCTGAAGATGCATTCCACTTTGACTGAAGCAATTCTGATCTGATCTGATGTCATATCAAACACTGAGAACAGACTTTGCTCATGAATTCAGCTAAATTATCTAAAGCAGCAACCAGCTGGTCTCATGCGTCTTGAGTTAGATTCTGAAATTCTACGTCTGGTGTGGGGGTAACGTTACTTAAGTTGGAAGACTTGATAACCTTACATATGCAGAAGTTATGCAACAAGATCAGTTGCATGTAATCAGCATCACTCTGATTACAGAAAGTAGAGTATGTGGGTGATGATGCATACGACAAGGTGGGTAGGGCAGGTCATTTATGATCTTCCCATCATGCCTCAGTGGAAACTGGGGAAGTGAGAGCAACTTTTGGCTTGTCTGAGTGGTGTATGACATGGCAATGATAATAGAGGATCACAAGCTTCAGACAGAGTTACAGGATTAGAGGCCAGCTCCAGAGAACAGACCGTCAAATACACATTACGCAGGCATCTTATGTCTGCGAGAACATGAGAATGTCACATTTATAAAACAAGACCGACAGATGTGCTTCGGTTTCACTGCGTAGCTGAAACTTGTTTGCAGAGCGTCCAGCACTGTCTCCAAATATTTCCGTTTGTATAAACATGATATGTTTAATTAAACTTTATACATACATAGGTTGAACTTTTCAAACAAGAAATGGAAACCAAGCTGCCAAACACCACATGAAATATTTGTAGCTCTCTGATTTACTTATTTATTATTCTTTAGATTTATCTATTTATATTTCATTGTTATATGTTATCTGGTACTCCGGTTGTACTTTTCAATTTTACTCTCATGTATCCAATTTAACTCTAGGCCAAGCTAGCAACTCTATCATGCACAGCTGTGCTTTGAGCTAAATGCTAACACTAGCATGGTAAGATGCATGCAAACAACAAGAATGCTAACTGCTGATGTTTGACAGGTGTAATGTTGACTATGTTAGCATGCTAACATTAGCTTATGAGCACTAAACACAAAGTACAGCTGAGGCTAATGGGAATGCCATTCGTTTTCCATGTATTTGTTTAAGAACAAATAATAATTTTGACCCGATGATGCTAGATGAAAAGTGAAGGGTCACTGAAGTGATTATAATTCATGAATAGCTGCACCAAATTTTGTGGCAATCCATCCAATAGTATTTCATTTGAAACCACAGATATCAACCTCATGCTGGTGCTGGAAAAAAGTCAGAGGATTGCTAAAATCTGTAGTATTCATCCTCTGGAGACCATGAAGATCTGCACATAATGTCATGGCATTACATCCAAGAGACCTACCAGTAGCGTGAATAAAATTATGTCTTCACATTGTGAAACATGTTTCCATCCATAAAAAATTGATTTTTTGCCGTTCCTGCCTAATTTAAAGGCATTATCTCCAAACAAAATAACTACCTGTGTTGATAGCAGGATTTGTATTTAACATATTTAAAGTGAAACAGACGAGGAAGGGAAACTCAAAGGGAACAGGGAAAAAGCTAAAATTAAAGGTTGATGCCACCACATTTATCCAGTTTTTTCCCCGAGTAGACAGAACTTCTCCCTGGGGCAGTGTTTTGTACTGGGCACTCAGCCTGGGACATGATGGTTATTTTGTTTTATTTAATGTTTCTGGTTGGCAGGAGTGTAAATATGGATTTGGCATTAGATTTCTAGCCAAAAGGGGGGGAAAGGGTTTTAATCAATGTTTTATTACTGATCAATAGCCACAATTACATTATTTTAGAGGAAAAGTTTGGTCTTGCATCTTCATAGGAAATACTCTACATTACATTGGACAAACACCAACTACATTTAAATTATAGATGAGAGTTTGTGATTTATATAATATGGATATGCCACCAGTGGAGTAAGTAATAAAGTACATTCACATAAGTTCAGTTTCGAGTACTAGTACTTTACTTGAGTATTTCCATTTTAACAGTAGCCCATGTAAAGCAGTTAAAAGTAGATTCAACTGGATGGGCTATAACATTTAAATTCTACTTGCATGTACAATCCAATAATGTAGTAATATAACAATGACAAGGGCTATTAGGCATTATACTTAGTGCATGGTACCTTACTTTTAACACATCTACAGTACATGTTGTTGCTAATACTTAACTTTTACTTTTACAAGGATTTGTACATGTAGTGGAGTAATTTTACTTTTATCATGTTCTATTTTATTTAATTCTTTTAAAATCTTATTTGTTAATTATGTTGCCTTGTGCTTCTTTTATGTCTTGTTTTTGTCTTACGTAAAACACTTTAGACTTCTGTGCAAATCTGTAAATCATCTTCCAAATTAGATTATTCTGACAATTCCTTATGGGAAACATCCACAATACTTAAGGGATCAGAGAACATCTGAAGAGTTATATATCTGAATTAGAGAGATTTGTTTTAAAACTCTTATCACAAATATTCAGTTGGCAGCATCAGTCCCTATTGCCAGTTTCTCACAGGTATGACACAATAGGTGAAGGTACTGCTGAGTATCAATTAACATCACTGACTTGGCTCTTAAAAGGGGCCGTTTATCAGAGACAAGTTCAAAACTATCACTAGTGTCTCAATGTCACTCAGTAAAGATGGACTTGTAATAGGTGGTAACACATATACAGTACATCTAGGGGGCAGTTACTGATAGACACAAGGGGTCCTGTTTAGACCAGAGGTACTGCATGTACTCGAGGAATCATATCTCATCCTTACAGATGGTGAAAGGGCAGCACAGAGCCCGTCTGAACACTTCTAATAATAACCACAACTAAAATAGCCAGTCATCACATGAAATTGATAATGCCACTTAGATATGACAGTGGGAGTTGGCTGGCTGCCCACACACTGGGATTATCTTGACATTTAGCTCACTCCTATAACTTTCACCTGGAGTTTTTCCTCAACATATAAACTAATGTCAGCTGCCCTAATTGGGTACTTCATGCATGAAACATGTCAATATTAAAAATGTTTGGTGATCAGAGGAGCCACTTTAATCAAAAGGAGAAAATCAAAATAAAGATTAAGTTTCAAAAAGGGGCAGAGCTAGTGGTTATGTCAGTGCTTGAGTTGCTTCTTGAATAAAGCCAAGCAGAGTACTGCCATCCAGTGGCCACGCAATGACAGTTCATATGTTCAAACACAGGTGCTTCCATGCTTAGGAAGAATATCCTATGGACTCTATTCAACTATAGTTTATTATAAAAATTTAAAGTCTGAGTTTAACACCTAGTTAATTACATTTGCCAAAAATAAGCCCAGACTTGCAGTACATACAATATTTATATTGTGTAAATATGCAGTGTGTACCAGTTTCATATATAATTTCAAAAATTATATAATTTTTACTTTTCAGTAGCTTTCACAATTAGTAGTTTGCAGTTCCATGTTATTTTTGCTTCTGATCACATTCACACTGATAAGTTTTGATAGTCTAAAGCCAAAGTTTTTTTTTTTTTTTTTAAACACATGCATCACTAATTACTACACAAATGGTTTTCATGGATTCAAGCTGATGGACCTTTATCCAACGAAGGTTAAAGTCAAGGGCAACTGGACTTGGTTGAAGATACTTGAAGACGTTTCGTCCCTCATCCAAAGGACTTCTTCAGTTCTGACTGACTGGCAGGGAAACTCAGCTATTTAACCTCAGTGGGGTCGTTATCCTGGGTCATCGATACCGCTGGTTCGTTAGTGTTCCTGGTTGCTGTGACGACAGTCGTTACGACTACCGGTGGCCAAGACTGAACGACCATTGGTATCCTCACCTGAGGCCAATAGGTTATGTTTGTTGAGTTTCCTGGGAAGAGATGAAAGGACAGTATTGTAAGTAGGGGATAAGTGGCGGTTCAATGACTGCTTCTCTCTCGACCTGGGTGTAGATGGCTTCCTTGACACCGCTTTCAAACCATCCATCTTCTCTGTCTAAAATGTGCACCTGGTGGTCCTCAAACAAGTGTCCTCTGTCCTTCAGATGTAAGTAGACTGCAGAGTCTTGACCTGAGGAGTTGGCCCTTCTGTGTTGAACCATGCGTTTGTGTAGTGGTTGTTTAGTCTCCCCAATATACAGGTCTGTGCATTCCTCACTGCATTGGACCGCATACACTAGATTGCTTTTCTTGTGTTTGGGTGTGCGGTCTTTGGGGTGTACCAGCATCTGTCTTAGTGTGTTCTTGGGTTTAAAAAAAAAAAAAAAACGGCGGTATCGATGACCCTGGCAAACGACCCCACTGAGGTTAAATAGCTGAGTTTCCCTGCCAGTCAGTCAGAACTGAAGAAGTCCTTTGGATGAGGGACAAAACATCTTCCAGTATCTTCAACCAAGTCCAGTTGCCCTTGACTTTAACCTTCGTTGGATAACTATGACCTGGATGACTGAGAATCTTCATAGACTGATGGACCTTTGTACTTTTTCCTCATCAGTGTAAATAAATGGGCTTAGTGCGCAGTCACTCGCACAAGCATTGGCAGTTTATTTTATCTGTTTATTTATTTTTATGTTCATGCATCATTCCAGACATAACCAATAAACAAAATCACTTGTAGCTTTGTGTTTAAATACATTCCTCACAACCTCCACATGGGCCATGTTTGTTTTTTATCAAAACTAATCCTACCACATGTACACAGTTAATACGTGATTTTCATATTTTCAGTGCAGCATGAAAGCAGTTATATTTTTAAGGTGCTGAAATTTAGACCGTTAATTAACCTGACAAGACAAACCTTACATACCAGTATACTTCAAGCACCCATTTCACTGACCAAAGCAACATCAGCTGCTGCAGAATGCAACAACCACTGTGGTGAATGGATCCAAAAGGCAATAAACAAATTGCCATATATTGTTAAAACACATATTTTAGTAAAAGTTCAATAATTCAATAAGTGACATGGGTAATTTAATGGACAAACTGATGCAAAAGCCAGGAAATTACAAATGCAAAGCTATGAGGAAACTTTAATTCCCATCACAATTTCTTGTTTCTCTTCTCAAATGTAAACATATGGTTATCACCGGTGCTGAATGGACTTTCTATTTCAAAATAATAAAAACAACTTCAATATAAATGCAGTACTTACCCAGTTATATTTATTTGTGTAACAGGAGGGGGATGAAAAATACGAGAAAAATGACGCAATACTTTGCATTTAAAGGTATTTGGCACATCAGGTGACTGAAAGCACGATAACTACAACCTAGATCCCACATGAGAAAATTTTGACAGCTGTGCCAAGTGGGAAAACATTTAAGAACAAATTTAAAAATAAATTTTCATGCATGCATATACACACAAACACACAACATGCCTACAATAAGCTTCCATTTGGATAAACAGTAAGCAGAAGTTACATGTCGAACCATGGGAGGGTATTAGGTGTTCTAAAACTTGGACCAAGATTGTTGGTAGGCCTCATCTCCGGACTGCAGAGAAACAAAACAAAATTACAATTCAAGAACAAAAAATATGCACAAACGAGTAGTGAGAGCTGAAGCAGACTAACGGAGCAGACCACTTACTTTTTATTCAAGACCGTGTTGACGCCCCACACAAATGGAACAGCAGTTTCATCAGCCTCTGCAAGATAAAATGCGCCGTTAATCTTACTCCGAAACACCGCTGACTCCGGCTGCGCCACAGTTTTTTTCTGTCCCCTGCCTGGCATCAACTTCCACTGGAAGAGTCTCAGATGCGTTTCAGCAACTGAGTGTGTAGCCTGCCCCACGTTACTGACTGAAGCATTTATCCTTTGAGTTTCTCTGACCTTCTTCACAACTCTCTGCTACCCAGTTTTGTTCCATCATCTGCATGGCTACATATCCCTCAGCATTTTGCCACCTGATTTTGCTGACACATGTAGATTTTATTGGTTTGGTAATTAGTGCTTGCTTTTTGCGCTTCCACTATGATTAAGTAGGCTACGTAGTAAAAATTTTTTTGTATGTGCACAAGATATTATGAAAATTGACCGGATTCTCTACACCGTTCTGTGTCTCACTTCCTGCCCGGTTCCATCTGCTGTGTTGCTTGACGCGGCATCCGTCAAAAATAGACTCACTGCCTATTCTCTGGGGACTCACAAGTATTAACCATTGCTCTGTAATTGCCCCTTGGGGATAAATAGTGTTTGTAATGAAATGAAATTGACTAGAATGGCTGCGATTAGCTCTGGCAACCGCGGCGCAGTCGGAGTCAGTGTCCTCTGTATGCCTTGAGTTGAAAATACTTCAACTCCGAGCAGAAAAGTGCCAGATGTCATCAGCATTTTTTTAAACAGCAAAGAGTGCTCTGACTGATCGCGCCTTAATTAACAAGTTTTGTCACATTTGTTTAATCCACATAAAAATCCAAGTGTAAAAATAAGTTATGATAATAATACCTTTGTCCCAGTCCTCAGTCATGTTTGGGTTTATCCAAGTACTGACTGGGATCTGCAGTTGACAATATCCATTTGTACCTCCACCTGTAAACAGAGCATAATCCAGAAACACCGTAAGCACATGTTGACTCTGCATGGTAGAGAAAGAGACAATCATGTGATAATCTTACCGTCTTCAGTAACCACAGTATCTCTGTCCTCACACGTTTCAGTGTGGTGACTCAGCTCATGCTTTGGAACCAGATGGCGAGCATTATAGGGGCAGGTTTTTAGCTCACTGGCCAGTTTCGGGTGATTCTACATCAGTGAAAGTTAAGTTAGGCAACAGTAAAACTTACAGTGGGATGATATCAAATAAACAGCCTGAAAACTCAGCAAGCGGGTAGTCCTGTAACATCAGCACTCTGTATGTTACTCAAATCACAACACAAACATGTAGAGTGCTGGCAGAGATAAGGGTGCTCAAATCACAGATGGTACAAACATTGGCTCCCAAAACTGCCTGTGTGGCCACTGGAGGAACTCTGGTACCAAAAAAAAAAAAACCAGTATTAATCGCTGGAGGAAAAAAACCTAACTATTTCTTCTTATTGGTAATTATAATTTGTTCAGACAAGTACACAAGTCAAAACGGCAGGGATAGACAACATGGACAATACTTCCTTCAAGTGTTCACAACATTTCAGTCGACCATCTAGAATTCCTTGACAACTCTGCAAACTCCATCAACACAACAAGATCGTGTGATATGCCTTAACAGCTACTTAATGAACCTTGTGGGAATATTTGTTTTGTCAAGTACTGCATGACCAGCAATGATGACAAAGGCATAAAAATATACCAGACATACTCAGTTACTAGCTGTTTTTTTTTGGGTACACCTACTTCAAACTAGTGAAATCTACAAGAAAAATAAATCTTAGCCTTCATGAAGGTGATAATGTTCAGTTTTGGTATGAACTGTTTTAGGGAGGTGTCGATTCAACTTTATGGTTATTTTGGAGGCTGTATAGATTGTTGTGCTGTTGAACTGAATTGCAATATAGTGAGAGGTGTTGTTATATTGCCTTCCCTAACTGACATGCTTGATCTGATAAAATATTAGAAGGCAAGAGTAATTCCAGAGCTGCTGTATAAGCTGCTTTTAATTTAGAGTACATAAACTGACAATTGAGTGTAAAAAAAAAAGCCACCGGGAGACAAAAAAAATACAAATAAAGTCCAGTTCGACTATGCATAACATACACGTCCCTGCACTCTAATTTAATGTAAATCTACAGTCTTTTCTTCTTAAAAGGAAAATTTTCCTTGCCTCTGTCGCCTAGTGCTGCTCTTGGTGGGAACTGTTGGGTTTCTGTAAATATCATCACAGAATACGGTCTAGACCTGCTCTTTTATATAAGGCGCGAGATTTGGCGCTATATAAATAAAACTGAATTGAAATTGAACCCATTAGTTGCAAGAAACAAGTTGTTGTTGACTCACCTTCCTGCACTTGATAAGATGGTAAGGGAAGCGGCAGACCCGGATCTGGTGGTTCTTGTCAAAAGGGCACTGCAAAAGTTTGTCCGGATCACAGTTTCCTTTTGTGTCTTTATAGTCAGAGAAGAACAAATGAATACATTTCATCCATTAATATTTACTAAAACACAAGATAACTTAAGCTGCAGAAAATTTGGATGAATATCTTTAGTATTACCAGTTTCGTCTTCCAACTGTGCTCTCTCAGCAGAAGATGTCTTGCATGGGCCGCTAGTGGTTCCAAATCTGATGGTGGTCGCCATCTCTAGGTGGAATTTAGTAAAGACGCACAAACTGGCCAAATGGGAGGTCAAAAATTTAAGTGAAGCTAGCCTGGAATGCAAAACAAACAAAACCCAATGTAATCAAAAGATAGCAACAAATACTGACAGGTTAGTAGATGTACATGCAGCATTCAAAAGCTGCAGAACCATGACAACCAGTCAGTGGTGTGCACACCATACAGGTGTGCCAAATTTTCTATCACCTGAAAGTGTGCGCGCCTGTTTTATTTTGATTATCCCAGAAATACATGCGCACACCTATTTCAGTGTGACTTCAATGCTAAACCCCCCTCCAAAAAAACCGAACAAGAATAAAAATGCTGGTCTACTTAGTAACTTATTTCCTTACTTATTTCTAAAGGTTTTCTTAGAGACCATATGAAAACCATCTAACTACTGGAGTGTTTTACATAGCGCCAATTTTCTAGCTTGAGAGTGATTAACTTAACGCTATGCCAGGTGTGCCGCTTCCAACCAGCCGATTAGAGCAGCACAGCACGCGGTCCGAGGTTCACGTGGATGGTATTAACACGAATAACTGCGATTAAATTGCAAGGCATTTACGTGCAGAGCAATTTTTTATAAACTTTTGTTGACCTTTAATTTGCTAATTGTCAACATTTCCCTAAAACCGTGCGTGCAGAATGGTTGGCATGCGGCCAAGTTTGCTTGCAACAACTTGTAAGAACGCGTAAATTAGTTTGTTTAAGTCAACGAGTTTAATTTAGATTATCTGACAGAACAAAGCTAAACAACACATTTAAGACACGTTTCTAACAAGAGGTTTAAATACGGTCTGTAAAATTATAGTGTTACCCCCCAAAAAGAACATTGTATGGACCTGTTCTTGCCTGCTTCTTCCTCGTGACCATAGTTCGCGAAAAGGGAAAATTTTCGGTCACGCCCCTTGCAATGTTTGAGAGACACGCGAAATCACGTGACTTCCGGTTCAAACAAAAACAAAAATTCTCTGCTTAAATACTTGAACATAAAGCCTATATCTGTAAAATAACTAAAACTACATTTAAACGAACTCAAAGTAGCTACTTTAGCTGACATTTCGTTTGTAAAAACGTGTTACATATGGGCCGGAAAAAACATCTTAAGATGTGATATAGCATCGAGTAAATAAGCAAACACATCTCCTGTAAATAGGGGAAGAGTATGATTGGGGAGAGTTGGAACACCAATTCCACCAATTAGAGATAGGAGAGTTAGGTGATCATTTTAGTATTTTCCTACTTCCTCCATGATCAGAAAATAGCTACATTCAGACTATACAGAGAAAAAATAATTTTGGAGGTAAGAAAGTAAAGTTTTTCACCAAGACTATATTTTGTTTAGCATCTATAATTATTAGAAACTTATTAGATTGAAATGTAGTTTCTTAGGCAAAATGTGATGCATTTTTTTCCTTGCTAATTTCAAACCACCTATCTAAACAGTGGCTGACAGGGGTGGGGTCAGGTGTAACACTAGTGCTATACATATACAGGTGCATCTCAGAAAATTAGAATATCATGAAAAAGTTCTTTTATTTCAGTAATTCAACTTAAAAGTTTTAACTAATATGTTATATAGACTCATTACATGCAAAGTGAGATATTTCAAGCCTTTATTTGATATAATTTCGATGATTATGGCTTACAGCTTATGAAAACCCCAAATTCAAAGTCTCAGAAAATTAGAATATTACATGAAATCAAGAAAAAAAAAAAAAAAGGGATTTTAAATACAGAAATGTCAGCCCTCTGTATAATCATGCATATGTACTCAGTACTTGGTTTGGGCCCCTTTTGCATGAATTACTGCCTCAATGCAGCGTGGCACGGATGCCATCAACCTGTGGCACTGCTGAGGTGGTGTGGAAGACCAGGATGCTTCAATAGCAGCCTTCAGCTCTTCTGCATTGTTCGGTCTCATGTCTTTCATCTTTCTCTTGGCAATGCCCGATAGATTCTCTATGAGTTCAGGTCAGGCGAGTTTGCTGGCCAATCAAGCACAGTAATCCCATGGTCATTGAACCAGGTTTTGGTACTTTTGGCAGTGTGTGCAGGTGCCAAGTCCTGCTGGAAAATGAAGTCAGCATCTCCATAAAGCTTGTCTGCTGAAGGAAGCATAAAGTGCTCTAAAATGTCCTGGTAGACGGCTGCGCTGACTCTGGAGTTAATAAAGCACAGTGGACCAACACCAGCAGATGACATGGCTCCCCAAACCAACACAGACTGGAAACTTCACACTGGACTTCAAGCATCTTGGATTGTGCCTCGCCATTCTTCCTCCAGACTCTGGGAGCTTGGTTTCCTAATGAGATGTAAAATTTGCTCTCATCAGAAAAGAGGACTTTGGACCACTGAGAAACAGACCAGTTCTTTTTTTTCCTTAGCCCAGGTAAGACGCTTCTGACGTTGTTTGTTGTGCAGGAGCGGCTTGACAAGAGGAATACGACATTTGAAGCCCATGTCCAGGACCCGTCTGTGTGACTCTTGATGCAGTAACTCCAGCCTCAGTCCGCTCCTTGTGAAGCTCCCCCACACATTTGAATGGCCTTTTCCTGATAATCCTCTCCATGCTACGGTCATCCCTGCTGCTTGTGCACCTTTTTCTTCTACACTTTTCCCTTCCACTTAACTTTCTATTAATGTGCCTTGATACAGCACTTTGAGAACGTCCAACTTCTTTTGTAATTACCTTTTCAGGCTTTCCCCCCTTGTGGAGGGTGTCAATGATGGTTTTCTGCACAACTGTCAGGTCAGCAGTCTTCCCCATGATTGTGAATTCCACTGAACCAGACTGAGAGACCAATTAAAGGCTCAGGAACCCTTTGCAGGTGTGTTGGATTAATTAGCTGATTAGAGTGTGACACCAGTGTGAGCCTACAATACTGAACCTTTTCACAATATTCTAATTTTCTGAGACTTTGAATTTGGGGTTTTCATAAGCTGTAAGCCATAATCATTGAAATTATATCAAATAAAGGCTTGAAATATCTCACTTTGCATGTAATGAGTCTATATAATATATTAGTTTCACCTTTTAAGTTGAATTACTGAAATAAATGAACTTTTTCATGATATTCAAATTTTAGGAGATGTACCTGTATACAACTAGAGACTTTCTTGATTTTAATATTTTACATAGTGTCCTTTGCGGTCTGGACCCACCAAGCCTACACTCCAGGGTTAACAGCATTCATTTGTCAGCACTGTGACCAGTCCTCCCCACTCACATGTGTTTCACATGCTGGCGTGTGTAGCGGCACTCGATCTTTTCCATACTCCATCTCCGTCGGTGGAGAGGGCATAGAAGTGTACAGGCATCTTGTGAGAAATTCCAGTGGTACAAGAAAAAGTGAAATGTAGAAGGGCTGGTACTGCATACAGGTGAGTACTGGCCCACTTCAAGCACTGACTGTGACTCTAATTAAGAATATACACACATTAGCACACACAGACGCTCTCCTCTTTTTAGTAAGACCTGAGGATGTAAAAAGATGTTCTTTAATTATATACATTTTAGTAGTATTTATTAAGTATACTGTAAGTAAGTTTATTCTATAGATAAATTTACATACACATACTGTACATGCACGCGAGTCATCAGACATAGTCTTTTTGAAGACTATTTTCTCTCTCTCTCTCTCGCTCTCTCTCTCGCCTGTCATTCATCGGTCTTGTGCAGAGTTTTCTCTTCAGCAAGTGTTCCTCTTCTGCCACTACACACATACACGCTACGCCTACACATGCGCACTGACAACCCAGGGTTAGGGTTACAATTTTGGGAGGAATCTGGTAGTTCTATGTAAAATCAGACATTCAGCACCCCCATATTGCCAAAATGGCATGATCCTTGTTTGGCTGCGAAGCTTCGACTGTGAGATTGACAGTCGAATCAGGCTCCGCCCATCGAAGCATCGAATCTGCGACTATTCGAGCTCAGCCTTAGTACTTTGAGTTATATTAGAGTTATATTTGCTGAAGCAAAAAGTGTTACAACCATACCCGGTCTCCCCTACTCCATTACAAGTCAAAGTCTTGCATTCAATGTTTTTTTGCTTAAATAAACATAACTACAGAAATAAATTTATGGAAGGTATCAAAAGTACTCATTATGCAGAACAATATGTTAATTAATAACAATCAGTTTTATGTTGTTTTATTGTAACATTTGTCTGCCTACAGGTGCAGTGCCCATACTCATTATTGTTATAATGTTAGTATTGTTGTTGCTTCTGTAATCAGTATTTTGTAGTTTATTTTAGTTGTAGTTTATCTTTTACATTGATGATGATTGATGGTCAAACACAGTTAAGCTGGACACTGTTTCCCAAATGTCAGATGAAACCATGTTATCATCTTATCTATCATCTATTTAAATTCTTGCCAGACGCAAATTCAAAAAATGCACTGCAGAATGTTCTGGGTATGTTAAGTGTATGTGTATGCCTTTGTATACGAATAACTGTAGATAGCCTATATATTGCTTTATTTTATTTTTAAATAAGATATTTAATGTCGCCTTATTTTAATACACATTTAATTATCTGTTAAGTTGTGTGTAGCATTAAGGGACTACAAACTTTCGTAGTGGTCAACCCACAGTCTATGGGTCAACCTTGTAAATTCTTTTTATTGTCCTCATTTTTAATCTGGGTGATATTGCCGTCATTACGGTAAATGCACGGCTTTTGGCATTGTCGTATTTGAGCGTTATTACGGTAAGTAAGCGTAACTTGGCGTCAAACATGGCGCTGTCCTGTTCCAGCCTGTGTAGCAATTTGTCTTTGATCCGACTGTGTGGTCTCAGGACAAACATCATAACAAATGGCCTTTACACTCCGTACATGTCCTGTCAGTCCAGGTATGTTTGACACTCTTTATGGCTCATTCCTCCTCGATTTGACACGTTGTTTTACTCGCATCTTACGTGAATCTGTGCTAAGCTAGCTGCACATCTGTACATGCTCAACCGTGTTATGTTTGATTGAAGAGGCATTTGAGCATATATACCATGATGTAAACGGAGTTATCTTCTTTGTATTGAAATTATGGAACTTTATGCTGTCATTGGTACAAGTACAAGATACGACCAAGTTGTTTTAGTCTTGAATATATTCTCAAAATCCAGGGCATGGAGGTGTAGAGGAGATGTTAATCCATTTTAATGCAATCAGTTTAATCCATTTAGATGCTCTAACTGGAGTAGTTATTCACGTCTAACTATTTATCAGGTTGCCCCTTTGTAGACACTACTCCTCCTCCGGAGTTAGACGAGGTATTGGCCGATATGTCACCTCCAGACTCCAGAGAGTAAATAGCAGATATGAAGGTTTCCTCAAAAGGCGATTTCCTCGCTTTTTTCAGCTGTACCACACTTTTATGGAAGGTAAGATCACTGTTAACTCATATATACATTTTTTGTCTTGTTTTAAAGGTTTTTATTTCTTTAAAACTGCACACTCCTTCTTTTCCCTGTTGTATAGCTGCAGGTTTTAACAGTAATTAAAGTTTAAATATTGTTGCAGTGAAGCCTAAAATGAAATCTGAATGGATTTAAGTTTAGAAACATGAACACAATGTCACATTTGAAGTTCACTCTCTTATGTATTTATTATTAAAAAAACATATTTTTTGTAAAAATAATTGAATCATTCCAGGATTCAAGCTACTGTTCCAAGATGCCAAAGATGTGCGGAGGATAAAAACAAAGATGGTCTCTGATGGATTACAGTTCCAGGATTTGCCCTACAGGGAGATGGAGAAACTCAGACAGGTGGGTCTCCTTACTGAATGTGCATCATCACACAGGTAGCAGGAACACACATTACAGCCGGGAGGTAAACTTAACTTATTTGTGTAGCTATCGCTGAGTGAAATGTGGCATCTGCCTCATATTGAAATGATCAGTGTTTTGTTTTTTTCAGAAACCAAAATGCCCACACCTAGTGTAGCTGTTGCAAGACACCAGCTTTAACATATTTTCACATTTCTAACCAGATAGAGTTAAAAAAACAACAACAAAATATTAAAAAAAAAAGAGATTGGGTGGAAATGCTGTATATTATTGATCATGTTTCTAGACTTTTTCAAAAACACTCTTAAGTCTATTCAAGTTGAAAGAAAATGATCGATCCACGTCACAAAGAGAAAATGGCAAAAACACTAGTATAATATTTAAGTATGCAGGATAATCAGGCTATAATTAAACGTTAAAAAGAAAAATGAGACAGAAAAGGAAATTTCGATATTTAAATGACATTAAGGACAATTTGAAATGGAAAGTGAAATTTAAATAGAAAATAGAAAACATGAAATGTCCATGCCTAAATTAGGCATAAAAATACTGGGGAAAAAAGTTCCTTTACAGGAAATGAGGATATGTTGAGACACTACCAGAAGTCATTTAGTGTGAGATGAAAGCTACAATACTAATTACTGTAGTTTTATTTGTTCATGGAAATCATACCAAAGGATAATAATTCATCGGTGTTCTGATATTTAAAAGTACCGCATTTAGCATCTTTTTAAATGCAGGAATGAACAGCGCAAATTCAGAATGGGAACATAATGTACTGACAATTCTCATGAATCATAGTAAATCAGTTACAGATTTTATAGCAGGAGGGAGTATAAGAACTGTGTTGCAGTGTTTTTGTTTAATACCTTGCTGTTGTTTTATTACAGGTAATGTATATTATCTTATAGTAGCTTTACTTACTTTACATTTATTTTGCAGTTCCGCAGAGGCATGATCAAGGCCCTTCCGCTGGTGGTGATCTCTATCCCACCCTTTGCCAACTACCTGGTTTTTGTCTTGATGTGAGTTACTTCGAAATAACCATCTTTTCATTTCACTTGCACCCTTTTTATTCTGAAAAACATTCTGAAAATATAGTAATGTTCATTTATGTCCCTCTGAATACTAGTCCTACATTGTATTGGATTTCCGTGCTGTACTTTCCTGTTGATTCACATTTATCCGTCACTCCATGTGTCTCTCCTCTCTCTGCTATCATCCCCTCCTGTTCACTGCCAGGTACTTTTTCCCCCGCCAGCTCCTGATCCCTCATTTCTGGACTCCCAGGCAGCAGGTAGAGTTTCAGGGAGTGTACCATTCCCTCAGGGTCCGGCACCACTGGCCAGTGCTCAAGGGGCTCGAGTATACGAGCCTCCAGGTCAAAGACAATCAGCTCCAGAGTCGCCTCAAGGACCTGTGTGCTAAAGTAAGTGAAGTCATTGAGAATTCTGTATTATTATGAGGAAAATGTGGCAGGATAGGTTGTATATTCTCCTTTCACACATATTGGCCATCTGTTCTAGTACTACCAGCTATAAATTGCACTATTATATTGCAAATATTCTTGAACATAATTATAGAGCATACATTGATGCATTCACTTTACATAAGGTGATTGAACAGATATAAATTAAAAGAATGTAAGAATTACTTGACAAACACCAGGAGTCTAATTTATTTACCTTTTCTACAAGTAGAAATCAATTTATCAACTGAATAAACAACTGAATGAACAGGCGTACCAAGTGGTAGGCTTGTGTAATCTCAAGCAAACCAATTCCAAAATTACAGATACACAAACCCCTACCCTGAACTGAAGATGTGCATTTCCAATTTTATTTGTAAAACAAGGTAATGTTGGGAACCATCTTTGACAATGAATTATATTTTCTAAGCATAACATGTTTTTTACGTTAAACCTTGATCTGAAAAGTAACTATAGCTGTCCATAAACTGCTGGATTAAAAAATACAATATATGCCTGTGGAGTGTAAGTATAAAGAAGCATCAAATAGAAATACTTGAGTGAAGTACAAGTAATTCAAAACTGTGTATTTAAGCACTATAGTGAATAGACTTAATTACTTTCTACGACTAGTAATTGAACATTGTTGACACCTGATCAAAATTCAGTTTAATAATATAGTTAATTGGAAAGATTTTAAATTATATTTCACAAAAATGCACAATATACCTCAAACTAGAAAACTTTAAGCCAACATTAGACTAAATGTCCAAATAACATTGGTTACATGTAAATAAGATGTTTTCCGATTTTGACGGTCTACAGACTAGTTTGAAACTAGGAAGTAATTACTAAGATCTTTACGCACAAACTTTATTTACAAATAGCTGGTGCAAACCAGTTCTGATTATTTTTCATCATGTTGAAGCTCCAATGTAAAGACAATATAGCAGAGACCGCGCTACTTAAATACTTAAACTATTTACCTGTGAACTGTATCAAACTGCATTTTCACACCTGATTCTTTTTACCCCCAGTAGTCTAGTATAAATAATCCATTGAAAGCGGGATAAACTGACTTTGTGTATTTTCAGGTGCAAAGTGGAGAAACCCCTCAAGTGTCAGAAATCCTTGCCGTTCGGAGCTTGTTTTCTGGACCCCCTTTGGGTATAAAGAGAATGAGCGTGGATCAGATGGTTAGTAAAACCCCTCCTCTCTTCACTAAAAGCCATTCTATTGACACGAAATGCAAAAAGCTTTGTTGAACCTGAACACCACTTGAAAACATCTTCTGTCTGTGTTCCAATGTCCAATCAAGAGACATGTCAGCCGCCTGCTCTTCCTGACGCCTCTCCTACCAGGGTTCCTAATTGGCCGACGGCTGAACAGCCATGCCCTGGAGCTGCTCCAGCTGGACCGGGCCCTCAGCAGGCTGGGCCCTCACCAGCTGAGTGACTTCGAACTCAGACAGGTCAGTCGCTCTGCATGACTTGACGAATTACACGTTTTTGCTGTGTAACCCTCAGTAAGCCGTGTTATAAAAACATAATGTTTTTCTCTTTTCAGGCTTGTTACGTAAGGGGGCTCAATTCTAATAGTCTTTGCATTAACCAGTGTCGCGAGTGGTTATTCCAGTGGCTTCACATGTCCTCCTCTTTGAAAGGTATTTCCATTTGGATGTTTTTGTAATTTTATTGACTTCAACTGTATCCTAAGCGTAAAGAAACAGGAAAACAGCTGGCCTGGTTCTGTTTCTGGGGGGGGGGTCACTGGTCCATCATAGGACAACATGTTATATCTTAGTATAAAATCAACAGTATGGTTTTATGGGGATTATGTGTATTTGTAAGTTTTGGCTGGGCACAATTACCTTTTTTAAATAGAGCCAGGCTGGCTGTTTCCCCCTATTTCCAGTCTTTTTATTAAGCTTATACTAGATATAGTCGTGTTAATATTCCATACATTCTTCTTCGTCAAAAACCTGGCACCTACATTACCATTACCATTACCCAGAATCCACTTGTACGCCCAATTCAAGCTGACTCAAGTGACATCACTTGGGGAAATCTATCAGACAGCTATCACACAGCTCTGGAGCCACAAAAGGCTTTATAAAACTCCCCAGCATCAATTTGTAAAATTAGTGGAATTCTAAAGTGGTATCAATCTTCTCATTAAACTTTAAAATGTTGAACTCCTCCTTTAATCCTTATTGACTTATTGATTTTTTGCAGACTCAGAGGTGTCACTGCTTCTGCACAGCATTGTATTTCTCTCTGCCAACTACCCGAATGGTCCCAGCCGACACTGACAGGAAGCCTGAACCACTCTGCTTCTGAGATTATGTTCGCTTTTGTGCACTGGTCAGCATGACTTCCTGAGAGTTGTCAACATCTCCGTTTTGCTGAGGAAAAAACATTTTAAAACTGATCTTGGCAAGATTTTGAGGTTTAAAACTGTCTTTGCAAACAGGGTTGTAGTAAAGAAAAGGATTCCATTAATTCTAGACGCCTTAGAACCATCCTGTTTGAAAGTCAGCCGTGAACACAACATTCCTCTGAAGTGGAGGAATACCACAAAGTACGTACATAATTAACAGAATTTCTTTTGGAAAAGAAATGGCAATAGGGTGAATATGGTGTCTTTGTCTGGGGAGTGGTATGGGATTCTACTTTATAAATTTGCACGAAGAGACAGGTGTGTTTAAACTTAAAAATCTTGTTTAGGAGTTCTCATGTAATTAGACTGAAATTGTGATTCACTGAACTATATTAAGCGGTGATGTTGAGGTAAATGATACGACGATACCTGTCGCTGTATTTCAAGCTCGTTATCACTGTAAAGCGCACACTTGTCGATTATTACTTCTAAGCCAACACATCATTACACAGCAATAGTGACAAGTAGGGAAACAAAGAGGATACCGTTTAGTATTTTGGGTTCTTGTTAATATCTTGCTTGTGGAATGGTAAAGTTGTTCAAACACATTCCATGCAAAAAAAACAGGAGAAGTTTACTTTAATGTGAACGTGTTTTTACATGTTATCAAATACGTACTTCATCTTCTCGTACATTTACCTCACTTTGTGCTTTGCTCTCACATCTTTACAATGAATAATGCTGGGTCATGGCTAAATTTGAAAACCTGTAAAGGGAATTTTATGGCAACAGTCTTGAGGGAAGGAAATTGTTTTATTTATATGGATCAACTTGTCAACCGCAAAAATTAGATAACACAAAGGCACCTTCTAACAGGCGAAATGGCGATTGATCCTAAAGAGATGAAATTTTGTCATTGCAAAGACATTCAAGCTTGTTTGTGGTGAGAAGCTGAACTTATTGTAGCTTAATATCTTGTTTGGGTGCAGTGCAGCATCTACAAGAGTTGTGATGGCACTTTCTTTACTTGACGTTTTCTTGCTTTGGAGGCTTAAAATGACATTAACTTGTCCTGGTCAAACCACGCTTCAGCACAGAATTTCATTCAAGCTTTTGGGGCCTGTTAACAGTATGAGGAACTGTATGTTCTTTGTGCTGGTGTTGTAAAGCGTAAAATAGGAAATGTCATTTTGTTCCTGTGCCTTTCGCAAGGACTGGCACAATACGTCTGAAATATGAGTTGCAAGAGTTTTTTTCTGTTTAAGGTTTATTTTAAAATTTGTTATATTATTTGTTCAACAGGTTTTGAATGTTGTGTTGCTGTGCCAATATTATATACATTGTAATGGAATTGTGTGTAAAATAAAGACCTTTATGGTGCATTTATTTTCCCTGTTTGCATTTACCCTTAATGCAAAGTCATATGCAATTTACAGGGTCTTTAAAAACAGAAATTGGAAGCCGCCAAAACAGAACTTAAGTCTCAAGAAAATTAAAAGATGTTACACTTCTCCGCAGCAAACAAGAACATTCATTGACAACGTGGGTATTAATCTTTTCTATCATTTAGAATTCCTAAACACAGTATCAAAGCAGATTTTTTTAACCTATGAAAATATATTGTTCTGTGTCTGATGACTTCAGTATAAGATGAACATATTCATTCCCAAGTTTCCAAATGAAGCTCCCAATAAGCGTGACATGAACAACCAACTCCTACTCCGGCGTGACGCTGAATCACATAACTTCGTAGCCGCTGCGGATGCCTCTCATCAACAAGCAGGCAAACACGATGCCCATTATCTGGAAGGAAAACAAACAATCTCTTTATGTCCTGTAGCACTTTTTTAAAAAAAAGCCAAGTTGAGAAATCTTTACAGGGCAGAAGCATGAAAAACCACTGGACAAGTTAAAAGAATCTGGTTCTGCAATAAGTAATGTCTGCTCAAATTAGGTTACCAATGCAACATGAGGTTTTGTCATGTTACATACCTGCAGGAAAGCAATAACAAGAGCTGCAACGATCACCCACAGGATGTTTTTCTTCAGCAAAGCCTCCACAGCATCATGACAACCCTAAAACAGAAAGAGAACTTTTAGATCCAACATGGACATTTTATTGTTTGAGTTATTACTTGAGACACGTTGCCTTCAAACACTGCTTAACTTTGTGTTTTGTTGACATTGGCTTTACTTCCTTGTTGACATTACCTGCTGTTGTGTGGAAAACTACTCGAAATCAAACACTTGTTCATGCATGATGGGACTTGAGTTTGTAGAAGTGTGTTGTAAGCAGCTACACCAGTTGTACTTCTGGTTCTCTATTTCTAGGTTTACCTTCAGGTACACTTTGACAGGGTTTGTCATGGCCCCGTTTCCACAGTTTGCAGTGACATTCACACAGCATGATTCAGGCACAGAATTTCCATCAGGTTTGAAGTCTCTCCAGTCAGAAGAACTGTTCACGCCACAGCATTTCCACTGGAATTGCAAAATGAAAAACATTTAATATGGACAGCTGTAAGGTTTGGCAATGGACGCATGACCAATGTACAGTAGAAGGATGTAGCTTGTGTCACCAGAAGGTGCAAAGAAAAACAATGTCATGTCATGCAGCACCGACCAACATGATGAAGTGTTAAGTGAAGGTGTTATCAGACTGGGTAAACTGTAGGAGAGTTCACTGAACTCACTTCCTGTTGCAGTTCATCCACAGCCTTTTTGAATTCTTCTGTAGTATTGTAATGCTTCATCATTTCAGAGAGACTATCCTGGACGACAGCTGAGAGCTACATGGGAGATAAAACATGAAAGCAAAGTTAAAACCACACCTTCTGAAGAGTCTTAAACACACAAAATAGTGAAGTTCTACACTCACCTTGTTTCTGAAGACATATCCAGCGATTGCTGCTGCCACCTCAACTATGATGATCAGTGTGAGAAGGACAGCAAACTGGGGAGGTGGGGATAAAAATATTTAAATGACTTACATATACTTAATGACTATTCTAAGCTACATTGTATGTGTTTTCCCACACATTATTCATTAATCTCTGCCACCAAATCCCACACGGCAAATTCAATAGTTTTGGTGCTGTGTGGTTTAACAGATACCACGCTATATGAATTACCATGGTGACCATGCAGTAGTTCTCTTTCCAGGCACCACAGCAGCCGAAGAAGGCGATGAAGAAAATCACCACACCAACTACTATGACGACAATGGGAGCTGCGGAGGTTGCCGCATCACTGATCACTAAGGTGTTGTGCAAAGCCACCTGAACCAGGATTCCCACGACAATCAGTGCTAGGCCACATAACTGCAGAAAAGAGAGGGGTGTTAGTTTAGGATGGAATTTTTATGGGATCATTTATGATCTTTTCATGTAATCCTAGAATGTTTCTTTGGTTTGAGCCCACAGTGGAAACTCATGTTTTATTTGATTATCTGGTAACACATTGGAAGTAAAGAGAGGCTGTAAAAATAGAAGTTGTATAAGCAATTGAATACTCAACTTTGAAACTACATACTTACAGTATTGCTGAAATTTAAATCTCATTGAATTACCAGCCACTGATCTAAATTAAAGTGATGCCTGTTGCTGAGGAGAATTTAAAAGATCAATTTTTTTAAGCCAATTAATTTAATTAAACCAATCTAATTTGATTAATTCAGATTTTTAAATCCAAAAATGACCAAGTAAATTTGAACATCTTGAATACCATTTTTACTGATACTTGAATTGTAAGCCGGAAATTCGGAACCCTTAATTTAAGAGTCTGCAGCCATGTTTTTGGCTTTGTGATGCTGTACTAAACCAGATGCTAACATCAGCACGCAAACATGTTCACACTGATAATACTAACATGCTGATGTTTAGCAGGTATAATGTTTACCATGTTCAACATTAGTTTAGTGTGTTAGCATGCTAACATTTGCTAACTGGCACTAAAGTGCAATGAGGGAATGTTATTAATTTTACATGCACATACTTGGTCATAAACTAAAGTATTGGGTAAAGTTAAATTAGGGTTTGATGGTGGCGACAAATGAAAAGTGAGGGATCAAAGTCAAGTCAAGTAGGATATATCATATGGGGACAATGAACATCTGTAAAACATTTGGTGACAATAAATCCGATAGTTGTGTATTTCATCTGGATCAAATGGTGGAACAAAGGACCGGCATTTCCATCCATAAAAATTGAAATTGCACAACTTAAAATACCTACTGGAAATTTTAATGGTGGGAAATAAAACCACATGAATAAAGTAAAATGTTCCAGATATTATAACGGGTAGGTATTTAGTTGAGATTACTTTTAGCAAGTAGATATTCCCTTGCTTAGAAGATTGAAAACCTCTCTTTGATAAATGAGTAAGCACTTGTGCTAACCAGATGGAAGGAAGTTGCAACAGTCTTCAGTTCCTGTATGTAGATGTAAAGTTATCAGGTGATAAAATGTGATATTCATGTGTCTCTGCTTTGGGTGGAGTGACAAGAGCACTGTATTAGAATTTTTACAACCACTGTGTGGGCGAAATGTTTGACCATGATAAGCTGAAGTTCTCACAACAAACATTACAGTGAATTGCATATCCTTTACTTTGAGGATGCTTCTTCAAACAGAGCAGGGAGTCCACTCAGAGTAAATACAACTGTGGGTGGACAGGAAGGAATTTAAGCACTAGAGCCGAAACAAGTAGATGATGAATCAATTAGTCCATCAGCAGAAAGGTAATCATAAAATCGATTAATAAATTGATTGACTAAGTAATTTTGTCTAGTATTTCCTTCTTCTCAAGTGCGAGGATTTTGGGATTTCAGATTCTCTTACGTTATGGTAAACTACAGAAGTTTGTGTTATGCTGATCAGACAAAACAAGGAATTTATGGGAATTTTCTTTCGCTTTATTCTGACATTTTATGGGTTAATGATAAATCAAGAAAATAACTGGCAGATTAATCATTAGGAAAATACTACTGCAGCCATATCGACCACTTAACTCTACGATGACTCCATAGTGTTACTGTGTATTTTACTGGACATTAAACAGACCTTCAAGGACTAAATGTTACTGCAGCACGGACACTAAAAGTCAACCATAAGAGTTTAAGTTTCTCATCTGAACAAGCAGAACAAAAAATGTGATTAAGTGAGAAAAATATTGTATGTAAATGCTGGCAGACTATGTCTTAAAACAGTTATATACAAAACTTATATGATGATACACTGATGATGGTGTTTGGAGGAGGATGTCATTGATCAAGTGATACATGAAAATAAACTAAGGAGTGGAAAAACCATATCAGTTTGGAAAATTTGGTGATTCAGACTGGCCTTGTTATCGTTTGACTTCACTGTAACGTTATGAGCATAACATACTGTCCTGATAAATAAAGCTTCAACTAATGTTTATTTTCATTATCAAGAAATTACCTTATTATCTTCCAATTAGTTCCTCGATTACTCTTTGAGTCTATAAAATGTCAGAAAAGTGTGACTTATTCAACTTGTGCGTTACCCTAAACCCTAAATACTACAGCTGGGGTAGGCAACATTGGAGAAACTAGCAAGAGACCGTTTGATTTTGAAAGTATCTAACCAAAAAAAAAAAAAAAAAACACCCAAAACACCCTCCCTTCAGGCTTCCCTCCAAGGCCACTTCCCAAAAACAGACAGACAGACAGGCAGGCAGGTAGGTCTGTCATGCTTATTACAATCCTGCAACAGCCACAGATACTGGATCTTTTTAATTTGTGTGTGTGAGCATTTGATTTATTGATTGCTGTCGGGATGCAAGCAGAATTTCAACAAATAACAAAAAATGCTTCTAAAATAAATCATATAAAAAAAAGCAAATATTTTCATTTGAAGAGCTGGAACCAGTGAATGTTTGCCTATTTTGCTTTTAAAATGACTTAAAATGATTCACTGAGTATTAAAATGATTGCTGATTAATATTCTCTTGTTTGACAAATCAATCATTTGAGCTAGGCTGGCTGATAAAGACTCTAAAGATGTGGTTATTGCTTGTGTAGGCATTTTTCAGACCAAGATCATTTAAACTTTTGGTCTTACAAACACATGCTGACAGGAAGTAGCACAGGATAGAGACATAAATTCACCTCATGGTTATTATAGACGATTCAGTGACAAGTCAGTTGCAACTCTTCTTTTATGCATTTACTCAAAGCCAACAGCGGTTTTCTCCTAACATCTATTAAAAAGCAGTATTGCTGCATCACTGTAAACAAAAAAGTTACCAGACAATGCCCAGCCAACTGCCCTTACTACTCTGAAATGTTTTCATATTAACAAATAAACAGAAATTCTAGGATAAAAACCTACATACAGTTTCTACACTGAAAGTCTTGCAATAGC